GCTGAAATTTATGATTTTTATTTAACATGTCAACATATGATATTAAATTATATGAAAACTGAAATTATATTTTTAGGTCATGTAGAAAATTATTATTATTATTTTATTTTTTTTGTAAATATTTGACTAATAAAATATCAGTCTCTCTCTTTATCTGTCTCTGCACAAAAATAATATAACTTACTTTTTCCAAGACAATGTGCACTACAATTAAAGGTATTTTCCAGACTTCCAAATCCACCCTAAAGGCAATCCACTGACCAACTGATGTGTGATTTACGTGAGCGTAGATAACATTATCACAATCCCATGTCACTGGCACAACGAACAGTGAACCTGACCCACTGTCGCAATGTAAAGGTTACAGACTAGCATCATTCATTACAGCAAGCATTAGCTTAATAACTCTGAAATAAGAGGCGATTCACCTCGTGTCACAATCAGTGGCATTGTATTCTGAAGTGCCTGATCACAACGACTGTCTGGATAAGTGGGCTTTGGAGTTGAGTTTTAAGCACTTCATTTAGTGTGGTTTAATCCTCTCTAGTTCAGGCCATTTCAGGCTCATTTGTTTTTATGTAGCCCTCCAAATGCTTATGACACCCACATAACAGAGAGGAGAGTGAGACACAGAGAGAGAGAGAGAGAGAGAGAGAGAAAGAGAGAGGGTGGGGGTAGAGAGATTGTAAGGATTATATAACTTAGAGGCCGCTAGAAAAATAAGTTTTAGGAATTTATTTGCTCTACTTCATAACAGTGCAGTAGATGGAGCATAAAAATATCTGCCTTTTTTTTTTTTTTTGCATAAGACATTGGGAATTTTTTTAATAAGAAAAAGAAAATGAGGCTAAATAGGCCAAATCCTAATTTTTAAGAAGAAATATATATAGAACTTTCTGAGAGCTAGAAATGTAAGTTTTGGGTATTTATTTCCTTCACTTAATAACTGTATATTGAGCAAAAAATGTATCTGCTATTTTTTTTTTGTACAAGACATCAGGATTCAATTAATTAGAAAGTGAAAATGAGGCTAAAGAGAGGAAATGTTAATTCTCATGAAAAAAAAAACTTTCTAAGAGCTATAATCATATGTTTTAGGAATTTATTTATTTTATTAATTTACTACAGTATATGGAAAATAAAATTCATTGATTTATTCATTGACGTGGAAGAAGTGTCAATCGCAAGTGATTGACATGTTAAGTCAATGCAAATGTGTGAATAGACAATACGAGCGAATGACGGGGAATATACACGAACGACACGGTGCGAATTGAGCGTTTGACGCGCCTAACACGCGTTTTGCGCAAATCACTCGAGTTCAAAAATCTGAACTTAAGCGGACATTCACGCCGTGTTAACCAATCAGGAGCTTGCTCTTGGGGGGCCGTGATTGTGATATAGCACCTGTTGTTGATGTCCCGGGGGAAATCCTCCAGCTGACACCGACAACAGTTCATCAAACTGGGCTCGGCTCAGTCAGAAGCAACGCTGAAAGTCTCCATCATTCAGGTTAAGTTACCAGAGGAGTTTATGAGCTCACAGAGCTGGATGCACCTCTGAAAGGATCTAGTGGGCTCAGACACGGCCCTAAACATATCGACGCTGTTTTTCAGCCTTCATAAAGCACATAAACACTGTTATTTTCTTAATGAAATCCATGTTAGCCTTTTAGCAACTAAGCTAACCCATCATGCGAATCCGCATATGTTCTTAAGTGAATTTGATGCTCGAATGAAGCATATTTGGCGTGCTAATGAAGCGGGGTTTGACACATAATTGAAGCAAGTAAACTCAAATGTTCACACGGCTATTTACACGCGAATTTCGCGATTTATCCGCGCGTTCCGCATCTGCTGTGAACACAGCATTAAAGGTTTTTTGAAGAACTTTAAAATCAACATTTTATTTTGTTAACTTCACAGTATAATGAAAAAATAAATGTAAATAAATAATTTTGTACATTTAGTCATTTTTATATATATTTAATTATTTAATAATATACATTTCCAATTCCTGCACTCATATTCTTATCTTCGAAATCACATGATTCTACAGAAATCAACTATAATACTTCTTTGTAAATGTCTTTACTTCTTTTTCAATTAATTGATTGCATCAAAGATTCATTCATTCATTCATTTTCTTGTCGGCTTAGTCCCTTTATTAATCACATTATATTAATAATTAATTAATATTAATATTAATACTTTATTAAGACATGCGGTATAGGTGATTTGGGTAAGCTAAATTGTACCGTAGTGCATGTGTGTGAATCTAAGAGTGTATGGGTGTTTCCCATTGATGGGTTGCAGCTGGAAGGTCATCCGCTGTTGTGGCGACCCCAGAATAATAAAGGGACTAAGCCAAAAAGAAAATTAAAGAATGAAAGTAATTACAAGTAATATAATGTTGCAAGAAATTCATTCATTCATCTGGGGTTGCCACAGCGGAAAGAACACTTCACAATTACATGTAAGGGGTGTAAAGATACATTCTAATTGATATCACAAAATATAAATGTGATGATGCAAATCATGATGCATTAAAAGAAAATTTGCAATATGAAGCCTATGTAGTCAGCGTACTATATTTATAAGATATGATTGACCCAAAAATTTCAATTCTGTCCTTATGTATTATTCACATTTACATATGCATATTCACATTTTCACAGGCGAACTTGGATTTGTTTACCAAATAGAGAGAACATGTGCTTGCACATACGTCATTATACAGTCGAGATACTACAGTAGATGCATTGAACATGCTCAGAACTTTTTGTCCGTGCTGCTAATTACAGGTAATACAGTTGTAAATCACATTCAGTTATTTACAACGCGTTTGCTTCATATTGAGTTGATCGAATCATAACTTGTGTGTTCATAAAAACGATCCTTTTCTGTAGTGTCATCATATTCTCCCTAATGGAGTCCTGATGTCCCCGGTATTTATATTTGAATAAATTACCATTGCCCCTCTCTAATAGAGGACAAGAGTGAATTGTTTTGAAATTGCCGAGTCCCCAAATGATAAAAGACATCCACAGCAGAGGATCTAAAGCATAAAAGAGAGACTAGCTCTCTGATATCCTTAGGGTAAAACGCTCATCTGTTAAACAAAGCAAAAGGAATTTAGCAGATTGAAATCAAAGGCTCTGAGCCATGTTCCCGAATCAATGATAAACCAGAGCGCTGTCTTTCCTGTGATAATCTGCTTTGAATTACAGGCGAGGATCTCTTTGTTGCCTATCACACCACATGTGGTTTTGGGCATTCCTGTGTCTTTTGGAAGTCAGTCAACACAACATGCTTCAGGATATCTAGAGAAACCCAGCGCGCTCCACCAGAGACGATGACAAACGCCTCAAAATAACCTCTCTTCGTTTTTGGAGTTCTAACACTTGTTTGATTTCACTTCAAACCCATGTCCAGTAATTACATTCTAATTTGTTCACATTGTAATCTATTCTTTGATCTATTTAATGAACATCAGTTTCTGAAGGGTGAAATACTTTTGACGATGTGAAATACGGTAACTGTTTTCCATTTCGCTTGGTTTTTATTACTTTTTAGCAAATGGCTGATCTCCATTTCTTGCACCCATTAAACCATCGTCAGCAAAACATCTACATTATACTTTAGAAATCAATTCTAATGCATTATAAATAGCTTTCTTTTTGGATTAATTTAATGCGTGACTGCAGAATAAAATCAAGCCAGTTTCTTTCCTTTAAACTAAAGGTTTTTTTTTTTGTTTTTTTTAAAGAAAAGTGCATTGAAAAAAAAAAAAGATTAATTATATTTACTCAGTCTTTTTAAGTGGTTGCAAACCAAATTTAAATGGGCTGAATTTAAACAAACACATCAAATTTAGTAATGTTTAATTATTATTTTTATTCAGCCCATATATATTGTTTGCAATGAGTTAAAACCACATGAAAAAAAATATTCATTGTATTTACTATTTTTTTTCAAGGTTAAATGTGTTTGTGTCTCTCTTTCTTTAATGGCCAAGGACCTCAATACATTACAGATATGCTGACTGAATACAAACCTAACAGATCACTCAGATCTTTAGGATCATATAAACTAGAATGTCCAAGAGCTCAGTCAAAGCAGGGTGAATCTGCCTTCAGCCACTATGCCCCTCGCTGCTGGAATCAGCTTCCAGAAATGATCAGATGTGCTCCAACATTAGGCACATTCAAATCAAGACTGAAAACACATCTGTTTAGCTGTGCCTTTACTGTATGAGCACTGTGCTACGTCCGACAGATCGCACTATTATGTTTTTCGTTTTCTTTTTCATTCTTTTATAACCTATTTTAACTCATTTTAATTTGTTTTTATCTGTTTTTAATAATTTTTACTGTCTGCATTTTATGTTCCTAAACTTATCTTTTTTATTCCTGTTTATGTAAAGCACTTTGAATTGCCACTGTGTATGAAATGTGCTATAAAAATAAACTTGCCTTGCCTTGCCTTTAAAAAGCCGAATTGATTAAGAAATATATACTTCTGAAAATGTTTTATTAAAATTGATTTTAAAAAAAGTCAGCAAAATGTAATGATAACGATATAATACATGTCTATTTCAAATAACTTTCGACCAAATAAATGAGTAATCCACTGTAAAAAATAAAAAATAAAAAACGCAGGGTTCTACACAATTTTTTCATAATGTCCCAACTTAAATCCATTAAGTTGACAAATTTGACTGGATTGAACATAAAACAATTAAGTAGTCTCCAAAAAAAATCTAAAGTTGTGTTGATTCAACTCATTTTAAATAAAGAGTTTGAACAAGAGGTAAAAGTAATTTTGTGAGTGGATAAAATGGATATTTGCTTTAATATAACCTCCTTTTTTTAGCTGTAACATGTTAAATTTAATTTCAAATCTATGTCCAATTACATTTCAACTAGTTTTCCCTTTATTTGATCTATTTAAAGAGTGTGTGGTTATGAATGGTGATGCATTGTAGATTTGAACCCTTACCTCCAGTATCTTGCATCGCTCTGAGTCACAGTGGCTGTCCTCGCACGGGTGAAACATCCCCAGAGTAACACAGTTCAGCAGGATCACCAGCATACTGGCCCTCTCGAACCACGTGGGAAGAAGCAGTCAAGGAAAATATGTACACACTGGATACAGTCATAGACATAGCATATGTTTTGTAAAGAATTAAAATGAATGACATTACTGAAGCCTAGATACAAGATTCAAGTTAATGGTGGAGACATTTTCGCTAGCTTAGTACATGAAAAATGCATGTGGCTGTAGTGATACTTGCAAAAAAAAAAAGATTTTATCGTTTCATGCACAGTTCCCTCCAGTTTTAACATATAAAGCATGTTCTATTTTCTCAGGAAACTGAGAAATTTTATGATTTATGTTTTATGTCTTTATTTAGGGTTGTGAATTGTATTGGGATGCTGATCTCTGTTTTGTTGACTTCTGATGATAAAAATTCAACTGTCCATTTTAAGTGACTAATACAAAAGTTTTAGTGGTTTGAAACAATGTATTGTATAATAAATAATATGCAGACATTAAAAGTAGTGGCAGTTTATGAACAGGTTGTTGTATCGTAATTTACAACACCAAACCAGACAAAATATCACAGTAAACTACTAAAAATATCAGTAAAAGTCACTTTTTCAAACAATTCAACATCAAAAGTTGAAGGAAACATAAAGGTACCACAATGCAATTAAAAATCATAAATAAATAATATTAATTAAAAAAATCATATTTCAAAATATGGAAAATTGGTAATTTACAAAAAAAATTTTTCCAGTGTACAGCTGATTATATGTTTCGACAAATTAAAAGGTTGATTGGCAATGCTATCTTTTTTTATCTGTTTGAAATAACTACTAGTTACTACACTAAATAAGATCGAAGAACACTTACTGTATATTTTTACATGAATGCGAAGAGCTGCATAAAGTTCATATGATGCAACGTTGCTATAATGTGCACAAATGTAGTGGACAGGTTGAGGCATTCTGAATTAACAGGGGGAATGTCTGAGAAACATACATTCTCCAAAACAACACAAAACAGTACAACATAACAGCAAAGCCTCCAAAAATTCAGCCAACAAACATTGAGATATTGACAACTCATCTGCATTATACTTGTTCAATTTGTAAACATAACTTGCAAAATAACCAAAAGAAAAGACTAAAATAATTTTATACCTGGAAAATAACTGACCCCAAAAAATAAATGACCCCAAGTTCCTTCATCCTTTTAGCGCACTGCTAGTAATTGATCACGGGGTCTGTAAATGTGTAGCTGGTTCCTCCGGTGCCACATACCCATCCAGGTATAAAATCTTTAAAATCTAAAAGCACAAAAGCTTCAAATCCACCAACGCAATAATCAAGACAGTACAGCTGATATCGAAAAGCAAAATATCTAAAGAAAACAGACAGATGAAACAACAACGAATTACTGAAGATGCCAAAAAAAATACAATAGACACCTCTGTGTAAACACTTACATGTTGTGATTAAAAAAAGACTAAAAACTAAAATAAATAAGAGTTTGGAGGATGCCTTGGGCTTAAAACTAATCAATAACATTACATTAAATTTGTATTTAGGTATTTGTAAAGGTAACTGTCATATTATAAATTTATGTACCAGTAAGAATTGGAAAAAAATCACATTAATTTTTGCAATCATGCACTGAGGTAAAAGTGTTTTGAGGTGAAGCACTATTATATGATAATCGACTCTATATGTCATGTTCACCAGCGATAAAACCACCAGAGGTCGCTGGTAAACACTCACAGCCACAAGAACTACAAATCTGCTGATAAATGGACTACAAGAACCAGTCAAGCTCCACACACACAACCGGTTCCAGATCCTGACTGATTGCATACACACAGCTGATGCTGCTCATGTACTGATTACACACACATATATATATACAGCTCACTTTGAAACCCTCATTGCGGAGTCTTGTTTTCCCGTGTTTTGACCTTAGCCTTGTTAGCCCATTTGTCTTAGTCTGCCGCCTGCCTTCTGACCTCTCGCCTGTGTTTGACTACGATTCTGGATTGCCCTCATACATCTGTTTGCACCTGTGTTGACCATTCCTTGCCTGACCACTGAATAAACCTGAACGTGGATCCAAACTTCTGTTGTCAGTGTCACCCCTAGTGGTTACACTATAATTATAATATTCGTGATTAATTGTTACTGTATTACTACCTTTAGTTTTCATTTAAACCAGCGAATTGTATGTATAGGCATTCCTAATGCTGGTAGAGGCATACAGTAACAACTCATGTCACTGAGACCAGCAATAAAATTTCAAATAAAGTACAACTAATGCTAATTCATTGTTATCTCATTTTAATCCAAAAGGTGTCCCTTTATACTGTTATAATATGCTTTAGAAAAGGTTAAACTGCAATAAATCACCACTTTACTGTAAGAGATCACATTTAGTTATTACAGCTTTAACAAATAACATTTCAAAGGCTAAAATCACTTTCTCTGTCAGGAAAACAAGGTCAGTCTCGATAAACGTATTACAGGCCCAATGGTGCTTTTGTCATTATGTTCGTCATTATTTTTCTTGATTTACTTGTGGGAAAATAAATGACCCCAAGTTCCTTCATCCTTTTAGCGCACTGCTTGTAATTGATCACGGGGTCTGTAAATGTGTAGCTGGTTCCTCCGGTGCCACATACCCATCCAGGGGTCGAGCTCGCACATTTACATCTAAATTAAATACAAGAATGCTAATGCCTATACAGGGTGCCGTCTGAGCAAAGTGGCACCAGACAGAAATCAGCTCATTTTTCACAATTACTGCCATCGGAGGGCCCAAGGGGACACTATTAAAGCATCCAAAACAACATAAGAGGATGAGCTACCAGACAGGAAAGTTCCCTGCCAGCAGAAACTCTGATCATGGTCAACAATTTTGTCCTCCAGCATCATAACTGAATAAGGAAACTATGCGACACGTTAGACGTCAAGAAACAGGTTTACAGTGGGCCTTTTATGTGATCACACTTTCACAATAGCGTCATGAAACAACCAGCCTCGCTGCTGTGTACAGATATATGAGAAGTCATAAAGTTCAGTAATGTATCTCTCGACACATTCTTTGTTCAGTGAAATAATTTCTGGTGTAATGGCTTGACACTGGTGTTATGCTATTTTACAGTTCTTGACCATAATGAACATCTCCAGTTGCATAAAGGAGCTCAGGCTGTAATGTATTCTGCATGAATAATGTAAACAGACAGAATGTGTCTTATTCCACCAGAAAGGAGGAAGACTAATTACGAGCTGCTAACTTCTCTCTGGCATCATTGATCTATATACACTGAACAAGAGATGCAAGCGAGAGACATTCGAACTGAAATTTGTGAATGAGGAAAACTCTGTTAAAAAGGTTGAGTAAAAAAAAATTATGATATACAACAATATTTAAATAAATAATGTAAGTAAACCATTGTTCAAAAGTTAAGGGTTGGAATAAGTTCCACATTGATAATCAAAATAAATTTTACATCATATATAAAAAATAATTTCCCTTTAAAATTTGATCCCAATTTTTATTACTGTAGGTACTTACATCAGAAAAATAGGTACAATGTACTTAATGTGATCATACAGTATTGTATGAGGACCCTTGACGTGGGATAAAGGTAAGGTTAGAGACAGGCCTGGGGGTATAAGTAGGTTTAAAGTTGAGTTAAGGTAAGAGATGGGTCAACAGTGTGATTTTTCAGTGAGTTTTTTATAGGAAGCAATACAATATTATATCATACCTGCCAACATTCAAGTTTTTCCAGGGAGTCTCCCGTACTTCAGACATCTCTCGCATTGTTCTATCTCCCAGAAATCTCCCGGAATTCCACCACACCCCCTCACTTTTGGTACAGTCCCCATGCGCACCGAACCTAACGAGCAACCATCTACATACCCGCTTTCCGCTTTTCAGTTTGCGCACACCTACCACCCCCACTCTTCAGTTCGCACACACCTTCCACCCCCACTCTTCAGTTAGTGCGCACCTTCCCCCCAGTTCATCACTTCGTGCACACCCCAAAAAACCTCCCCGCCCCTGCTCTTCAATTTGCACGCACCAACGGAGAAAATCTACCGGATTTTATGATCCGAATGTTGGCAGGTATTTATTATATTTGTGCAAAAAACATTAGATTAGTCAGTACTAAAGCCAAATTTGGACCTAATCTAACAAAATAACTTCCCATAATGGTCCAAAAACTAGTAGACCCAAATTTATATGTTATAGAAAAATTATTATTATTATATACAAATTGAAAAAAGAGAAAACAATCTTGAGAAACAAAAAATAAAAAATAAAATGTTGAAATTTCGTAGGTTGTAATTTTTTTTGCAACAATTTGCTTGGATCTTTATCTTTAAATTTCTAAATATTTCTAAATATTTTTGGTGGTTAAAATATTATTTTAATAAATATATAATAAATCTGTTTTGTTTAACTGAACCAAAATACATTGCCTATGTTTACTGAAAAATGGATAAAAATATTCATTTTTAAAATGGGGTGTATTCAGTAATTCTGAGCACAGTATATGCAAAATAAGTATATTGTGCTAAATAATTCACTTAAATGTCAGTACATGGTAATTCTAACCAATAACAAACTTTAAACGGTAGGTAAAGTATTACTTTTTTTTTTTGCTTGTTAATGGTAAAATTATCTTCCCCAGTCTGATATTATATTTACTAGCATTATCTTTCATACAGTCACACACAGTCTTCCTTGTGGGTTTTGTTTTTATCATGTGACCTTCCCCATGTGCTCCATTTGTTGATGTTCATCTGTGTCACCTGTGTTCATCCCCTGTATGTAATTATTGTCATCGTTCCCAGTGTATTTAAGTCCCTGTGTTTAGTCATTCGTTGTCCGGTATTCTCTCTGTTGATGTCTTGTTTGTTGCTTGTCTTCACCCCATGTCCTTCCAGTGTTCTTCCTTGTGAGTAAGTATAATAAATCAACGCATTTGACAATCTTGCGAGCCTGTGCCTTCCCCAAGTGAACTCGGGGCGTTACACATACTGTGCACTTTTTTTCTGTGTCTTT